TCGCTCTCTCAGGTGGGGAGAGGCGAGTACATAGTTCTGTTCCGTGTGGGTCCTGCCCTGAACCCCTTTTTACACAGAACCAGGACACCCCCCAAAGCACGTGCCAAGAAATGACTGATTTCCCAAAGAACCAACGCAGAGGGGGGGATGGAGGCTCTTTACCTCTGGCTGCCCCATCTCTCCTCTGAGAAACAGCCCGTGCCTGGGGAAGGTGACCTCCTGCAGCATGTCCCCAGCCCTTCCAGCGGGAGAAGCCGGGGGAAGCGAGGGAAGACACTTCCTCCAGCGGCGGATCTGAGGTCACCTCCTGGCCCTTGATCCCTCCAGCCCGGGGTCTGTGGGTCAGCGGGGAAGCACAGCTGAGAGCGACGTCCCTTCCTCCTCTCTCCCCAGGGATTCGTTTTTAAAGGAACAAATAGCCACCAGGCAGAAGGGCTTTTTCATGATGGGCTTTGAAACAATGAGCTGGAGAGCAGGGGGGGTTTGGAGCTGTGGCTCAGAGCAGTGGTGTTTTCTCCTCTTGTGTCCCACCTTACTCTGCTCTGCTGTGCCCAGAAGCTTTTTACCAGCACGGAAGAAGCTTTTCATCCTTTTGGGATGGCTTTGCTGGAAGGAAAGTTGATCTGGTGTCTGGTGTGTGGGACCCACCTGGACCATCTCTGGCCCATGAAGACATGGACATGGTGCTCACAGCCCGTCCTGGCCCCTCGGTGTCAGCAGACCCACTGAAAGTCCTGGACCCCCAAGTGCCAATCCTCCTCTGCCACAGGGTCCCCAGCAACATTGTCACCTGCTGGCAGGAGGAGGAGGACCTGGTGGCCGTGGCACAGCTGGTCCCAGAGCTTCTCCATCGTGGGCACAGCTGGATGATGTTGGGTTTATGGGGAAATGGGTCCCATCCCCAGATTTACTCTGTTTTGAGCCCAATGTGAGCAGTGCCAGGGAGCACAGCTCAGCTTGGCCACGTTGCCCACATCTCCTACATCACTTATCCCTTGGAGATCCTCAACAACTCTACTCCCCTGCCCATGTTGAAGGCCACGTTGCTTTGGGCCTGTCATGGGCCAACAGTTTGGTTGTCTTTAAGTCCAGGTGGGAAGCAGCTATTTGCAGAGCTTTAGCTGGAGCTTTACCCTGTGAGATCAGGCTGTGGAAGGGCTGCTGGTGGGATGCTCTCCTTGGTCAACCTGCTTCAGCAAAGGGGCACCAGCCCCCTGCTGGGCTCTTCCCATACCCCAGAGCATCTCCAGGACCACCAGAGAGGTCCCATCAGCTCTGGAGGAAGCCAGTCCTGTGCCATCCCTGCTGGGCTGAGCAGTGAGGAGTTGGGTGTGTGTACCCAGGGGGGTCAGGGCTCCCCAGCTGCTGGCTTAGTGCCTTCAGGAGGGGCCACGGGTGGGAGCAGGGTGGCACAGAGGTGGCTGCTCTTGGCACAGCTCTCAGTGCCAACCAGGCTCAGCAGAGAGGTGGCTCTTGGGGAGGGACAGCAAGCATTGAGCCACCTCCAATCAATCAGAAGTCATCTTCAGTCCCCCTTGCAAAATGAGAGTACTTTAAATGCTCTTTTCCTTTAACTAAAAAAGGGGTTTCTGAGGTGTTTGGTGTTTCTTTAAAGGCTTCCCTTGGAGAAGGGGCTTCTTGGCCAAGTTCCCCGTGGCACCCAGCCAGGCAGCTCCACAACCAGCCCCTCCAGCTGGTGCTCCTGGGAAGGGGTTGGCTTCACCTTGAGACTCAATCAAGTCTTAACCCGACTCCTGTCCAAGTCCTGTGCAGCTCTTGAGCTCCTTCCAGCCCTGGCCTCAGCTGGAGTCAGTTCATCGTTTCTTTTCCAATCTGCTTGATCACACCACACTGCTGATAAGGCTCCGTGCCTCTTGTGGGGGCTTGTCTTGCTGTGTTTCCATAGCTTGCCCAGGTTATCAGCCACAGAGGGTTGCGAGGTGTGGCCAGGCTAGGAATTAACCATCTCATCCAAAACCCTGTGGAAATCAGAAGCAAAGATTCCCCTTTTTTTTTAATTCTTTTTTCCCCCTGTGGGCTTTAAATCAAGTCGTAACTTCTCCAGCATCAGAGTTGCTGCTGAAGGGAAGCCTTGACTCAGGTTTTTAAACCCTGTCTGGTTTCCACTGGAGGACTGGCTGCCTCTGCCCTCCATGGCCAGGAGAAACTTCAATGCCACGTTACCCAGATTGCCAAAAATAAACCCTTCATGCCCCGAGGTGGATCCAGGGACTCCAGCTCCACGTCCAGACGGGTAGGTTTGGGGCTACACATCACCTGAACCTCATTTTTTCCCCAGGAGGTGGTTTCTGCCATGGCTTTCCTCCAGCCTTCCCTGGGTGAGAGGAGGTGCCCGCCCTCGCGCCGGGGCTAAAAGAAGGGGGTAAATTGTGCAACCCCCCCCTCCTCCGGGGGCTGTTTTGAGGTGAAGCATGCCAGGACTGGAGCTGGGACCCAGGCAGCTTTCTCCTGCCCCTCTGCTGAGGTTTCTTTCCAGTGCTGGAGCTCGCCCAGCCCTCCTGGCTTCCCGGGGCTTCGCTGGGAAGCGCTGGGAAGACAAAACCCCGCTCTGGAAGTGAGGCTATTGTTCTTACTAATTTTAACTTGATGTTCTTCCCCAAGCCTATTTTTATTCATTGCTTGTGGTAAGCCCTTTCTCTAAGGTAGAGCAATTTGCCACGAGACTCTTTTTGGGTGTTTTTTTTTTGGTGTGTTTACGGATTTTAATTGAGCCCTATCTCCTTTTTACAAACCCAAAGCTGGAGGAGCTTTTCAGAGCCCGTTGCTGAGCTTTGTGCCCCGGGTTTGCTTTGATCTCTGCAGGTGAGTGTGCATTTTTGGGGCCAGAGATTGATACTGCTTATTTGCATGTAAATCCCCGGGTTATTAAGATCAGAATCTGGCCCTTTAAATTTAATACTCTGCTTTATGCTTTTATTTCCGCGTTTCTTAAAGTAATTTCCAAAAATAACAAACTTCAAACATGACAGGGCCATCTAACGTTTTACTGCCTTGGCTGGAGTAGAAGGAACATTTCTGGAAGTATATTATCCAATTTAACGAGCCTTTCCCATCTTGGCTTTGCTCCCACCCCTCACCCCTTCTCGGAGTTGTTTTGGACGGCTCCTTGGAGCCGTGCCACCTAATCCTATTAGAAGGACTTTCATTACACTGGGCCTTGTGTTTCTAACCAAGAAAATCAGCCAGAGAAGGGGGTCCTCTCCATCTCCCTGTTGCATTTTGCCTGCTGAGAGGAGAGCCCAGTGAGTCCCACCAGGTTCCCACTCAGTCCTTGCTTCTCTTTTCATTGCTCTGTGTTTAGCGAGGAAGAGTCGGGAGTAAATTGGGTCCTTGCAAACTTGTAATTAATTTGGAAGGGTCACTTCTTCCCAGACTTAGCAAGGTCTTCTTTGTGTGGTCTGTTTTGAAAGGGAGAGGTTGGAGAGGCTGTTTTATAGCTGGGTTTTGCTTTTAATAGGGACCTGGCTATTTTCTGAAAGTCTCCCAGCTCTTGAAGGATGGGTTGTTATTGTGTGGGGCTGTGCTAGAAGGGTTTGCAGAGTGCTTGGGCTGGGGCCAAAAAAAACAACCTCATAAAAAGGAAGAAAAAAACCAAATTAAGGAGCACATGTCCTGGGATCTGTGTGTGGCAGGTTGGGCTCAGCATCTCCTGAAGCTGGGAGATGCTCCAGGAGGTCCCCAGGCCTGGGTGCTTGTCTGTCTGCCTGTCCTGCCCCACACCCTGCCAAGGGGACCTCTTGCTTCTCCTTAGAGCTGGAACACAGAGATTTTTTTGCCTTACCACATTGCTTTTCTTGAAAGTCTGCCTTTCCTTCCCAAAACAGTCACAGAAACCTTTAAACAGAGAAGGTGGAGGGCAGGGAGAAGGCGACGGGCTGAAATAATTTGCAGATAATCAAATTTTCTGGAAAAAGGCAGCCAAACAGACAGTTGTTTTCTCCAGAGATGGGTTGGAAGTGGATGTGAGATCAGGGCCAGGGCTGTAATCTAACCTGGCACAAGTCATGTGTCGTCCATCATCTCAGCTGCAAGGAGCAACCCCTGCTGGATGTGGGGCAAGGGGAGGGTGGGGAGCAGTGATGGATGAGTGTGGCACCTGGAAGCACTGAGCTGTAACTCATGAAACTCCTCATAGCCAAAGCCAAGGAGCAGAGGGCTCAGGGGCTTTTTTGGCCGTGGAGATGTCCACCGTGGAAGTGGCATCAGTGACAGCATCATTACACACACAGCAAGGGCCAGGAGATAAAGTGTTGAAAGCTCAGAGCCTTCCCTTGGACACACGTGAACCCAGCAGAGGGGACTGACAGGAGAACTTGGCTGTGCCTCCACCGTGTGGGTGAACAGCAAGGGGCTGACAGGCAGCCTGGGCACTACCCATGTTATTGATGAGCTGCACTGCTCGTTAGCAGTGTGATGGGGCTGCCTCTCTGCCCACAACACCTTCAAAGCTGGAGGCAGCACCAGCTTGTTCTCCTCCTGGCCCCGTTTGACGTCCCACCCTGACCATCACCTTTCTTCTCTCTCTTTCTCCAGCATGGGTTGGCTCCTTGGCCATGGGCATGATTTTCTTCTGCTCTCCCATCGTCAGCATCTTCACCGACCGGCTTGGCTGCAGGACCACGGCGGCCTCGGGAGCTGCCATCGCCTTCGTTGGACTCCTCTCCAGCTCCTTCACCAAGTAAGGCTGCAGAGGGACCACCCAGGTCCTCATCGAGCTCCTCTTCCTCACTGCTCCCTGCAGCCCCTCTGCCTATACGTTGCTGCTGCCTTTTGGGGCAAAGAAGGTGGTTTCCATCCAGATGAGAGGTCTTCTGGCAGCCCCACAGTCCATGTGCAGCCCACATGGACACGGTGTGTTCCTCTCCAGCTTGAACCAAGTTGCTCCTTTGTCCTTATGTAACAAGAGGGCAAATTTCACCTGAGTGAGGAACTTGGCTGTGTGGGATTGCAGCCCTCAGGTCCTTCATCTGATCTTTAAAACAGGCAGTGAGGAGCTGGCATGCCTCTTGCAGGCAGCTCCAAAGAGAAGCTCATGGACAAAACCATCCTTCTTTGCAAACAGTTTGGTACTGAAAGTAAATTAGTGCTTAAAATAGTCTTTGAGAGCTTATTTTCCCCTATAATATGGGAAGAAGGAGTTTCCTCTTCCTGGCAAGAGGGAGTTTCCATGCAGAGCAGATGGGATTTGGGGCAGTTTGTGCTCTTCCTGCCCCAGCTCAGCCCATTTGTGGCAGCGTGGGGTGACTCTGCCCCACGTTTTCCATGGTCAGTGCTGTGCCATGAATTTCTGCTGGCGGGGGCCTTTGGATGGCAGGTGTACCCAGTGTGATGTGAGAGTCTTTCCAACCCAAGACATTTCCATCTTTGGGGGAGCAAAGAGAGGTCACCTCTGGGGTCCTTTATGAGGTGCTTGGTGGAGACGATCTCCAAAGCATCACTTGCCTTGTTTTTTTCTGAATAAAAACACGGGGTTGGATTTCAGTTAAAAACCAATATTGTTTTAATTAAAATGCTTCAACAGTGGTTTTTTTCAGAGCAAATACACACTAGTTTCCCTGAGGGCTACTTGCCTGTGCTGTGCTCCTCCCTGCCCACACACAGGGCAGCAGGACTCCAGTTCCCTTTTATCCTGGTCAACGAGAGCCTCGTGCTCACCTTGGTTCCTTGTGGGTAGGTGCTGTGGGATGTGTCCCCCATTGCAGGAGCCCCCCATCCCTGGGAGGTGGGCCGCAGCTTCTGAACCTCCTGGCACAGCCCCAAGAAACTGGGGCCAACTGCAGCTGGGGGGGACTTGGGATGCTAAAACCATCTCGGGCAGCGGTGTTGAAGGACCCACCCTCTGTGACTTCCTCCACAGATGCCACCCCTTTGTATTTCAAAAAAAAATCTAGGCCTTGGAGAGCGTGCAGTTGGTCCTGAGGGGAGGTGTGCCCGGGCTCCTGGCAGCCCAGATCACAGGCACTTCCCACGGAATCTTGCTTTCCTTCTAATCAACAAAGCTTGGACTTCTCCCCACCACACACCATTGTAAACTCTTCGTGCAAAGACCGGGAGCTCTTGGGACCGCGGCACTGCCAGGGGCTCGTTGCCTTGGGCTTTAAAATTAAAACTCCAACAGTGCAGCCAGAGAAGAATATTATTTCCAGGAGAGCCCCAGAGCTAAAATCCCCATTCCCTGCCTTCTCACCCATGGTTTGCATTCCTTTGGCTGCCTTTTGAGGGAGGAAGGAGCCCCTTTGCAGCTGGAAGCTGCCTTCGGCACGGCCAAGCCGGCGCTGGGGGAAGAGCAGCGGGGCTGTGGGATCTGGCACCCTTCCACCTGCAGGGCGAGGGACGGGCCCAAAATTTGGGGCTAGCGGCTCCTGCTCGCCCAGAACAATGGAGAAGAGGATGGGTGGGATGTGTTTTATTGGTCCCCCCCTTGCCAGCTCCCTGCAGCTGGAGCTGACGCCCGTGGCGCTGGCCGCGAGCGGGGCGGACGCCCGTGGCGCTGACTGGGCTGCGGGCGTCGGTGCGAAGGGAGCTGCTGGTCAGGAGCTGCTGGTCAGGAGCTGCAGTCTGGGCTGGGTGGGCTCAGGCACCCTGGAGGAAGCCTCATCAACCCTTTAGCTCCAGGTTGCCTTAAAATGGCTTTGCTTTGTCCAAACAGAGGAGTGGGAATTCATGACGTGGCCCTGAGCTGATCCAAAAACCTACTCAGCCACCGAGCCTGCAGAGCAGGACCCCAGAACCCAGCTCAGTGCCTCCTACTCTCAAAATATTGGGAGTCTGGGACAAAAAAATGCTAAATAAAGAAAATACAGAGAAGCAGAGCTCTAGGGAAGGCTAGAGTTTGCTGGATGGGGCTGAGGTGGGGGTTTTCCTTGCTTTTCTGCTTTGTACCAGGGCATCTCCTGCACTCTTAGGCAGCTTGAGCCACCTCAGATCTTACACACCCTCAAGAAGAGGGAAATCCCTGTTAAGACTTTACTCTAGTTTTAGGGTGGATGTTTTAGCATGAAAAATAGGAGCTGGTGACCCATATGCCCCCTGATGCCCTCCTAGCCCTCCTCTTTTGCACCGTTAAGCATTTTGTGGTGGGGTTTGAGCCCCTTTTCATCTGTCTCTTTTTCCCCTCCACAAATTCTTCCCACCAGAGAGCAGCTGGCCAATTCCCACTGAGCTGGGTGGGAAATCCAGGCTAAAAAGCACAGCTGAAAGGAGCTCCTGCTCATGCAGGGGTGTCTCAGCATCAACGGGGAGCAGATGGGAGCCGTGGAATTTGTCTCCTTATCCAACACATCAGCTTAGCTGCAGAACCAAAGCTGGTGTGACCTGCAGAGATGGCCAGGGCTGGTGTGTGGGAGGTTGGAGCCAGCCTGCCTAGCCCAGCTGCTTGCCTGGCTCCCACGGAGGGGGTTTCTGATGTGGCTTCATGCTGGAGTGGTTGGAAATTGCCTTTCATGACAGTCATTTGTCTTTGAGCCGTTGGGTACCGCAAGAACATTCTGCTTTCTGCTTGGCTAGCTAAAGAGACGAGCGTGTCATGGAAGAAATGATGTGCTTGTAAACGTTTTCTTGACTTCAGACTCCTCTGTTAGATCTGGATCTTCTGTCTGCTCCCTTGTTTCATGAGCAGCACTCTGTGTTTGACATGAGTCGTTCTGAGTGCTGGAGTGAAGAAGTTTGTGCAGCATCGCTTGCCCGGCGAGCTGCCCAAATATTTCCATTGCACTCTCCCCCCATGAAATATTTCGTGGCAGGCATTTGCAGCTGAATGTATTGCACGGGGATGAAGGAAAAAACCCTTCATCTGGAGAGAAGCACAGAGGGTTATTTGCACTGCCTAACTTTAGGCTCCTTTCTCAGCTGCTTCTGTTGAGAAAACCAGGCTGGCAATTGGGAAACGCTCCTTCCGAGGGCTCTCAGGACATTCCACCTGTTTTGTAGAGCAGCCACTTCTCTCCCTCCTCAAGTGCAGCCACCAATGTAAGGTACAAATGAGGTCTATTAACTCTCTAATTGAAGCTCCCAGAGGTGCTTAAAGAAGAACTTCATTAACCAGCCTGGAGCCTGAGCAGAAACACAATGTTCCCTTCTCAAGTGCCTAATAACCAGCTGGGTTGGTGCCTCCTGCTTTCAGACCCTGGGTTCAGAGTGTTTTCAGCTAGTCCTTTCCGTGGAAAAAAAAGATGGATTTCTAGCTAAAAATAACCCACCCTGCCTACCTTACAAAATCTGGCTTGCTGTTGTTTAAAAACCAGTCAAGTTGGGTCATCTTCCCAAGGAGGGCAGGTTGGCTGCTGCCTTCTCCTCTTTGCAGAAAGCACTCCCCAGCTAGACTTCATTTTCCCAAAGATTTAACATGCCAGCTGTGAAATGAGGATAATCCTTGCTTTGGCTAGAGCATAATAAGCTCCTTGAGGTCAGACTGTCTGTGTAGCACCTGCGGCATTCGAGAGCTGGGTTCTTTGCCCCAGGTCCTGCAGGAGGCTGGGGCAGAAGGCTCCCTCACTTCTGATGTCACCACCTCGATGTGGTTTTCCCCACCAGGTCTCTGGAAGTTCGTTATTTCACCTACGGGATCCTCTTTGGCTGCGGGAGCTCTTTCGCCTTCCAACCATCGCTGGTCATCCTGGGTCACTACTTCAAGCGCCGCCTTGGCTTGGCCAACGGCATCGTGGCTGGGGGCAGCTGCCTCATCTCCGTGCCGCTCCCCTTCTTCCTCAAGATGGTGGGCAAGGCCATTGGGTTGGCACACACTTTCCAAGTACTCAGTGCCTTAATGTTCATCCAGATCTTCTTGTCCCTGACCTACCGGCCCATCCTGAGGCCCTCGTGTGACTCTCAGCAGAAGAGGCAGGAGAAGCTGGGCAGCCGGAGCGTGCGGCAGCAGTGCTGGGCCCAGCTCCGCAAGTATTTCAACTTGAGGGTTTTCCGGAGAAAGACCTATCGGATTTGGGCCTTCGGGATCGCCACGGCTGTCCTGGGGTATCTTGTACCTTACATGAACCTGGTAAGAGCCTTGGCTGGGGCTGGAAGAGGAGGAGTTCACCCAGAATGAAAGGGCTCCTCTCTGCAAACCACTGACTCCAGTGGGGGGTTGGACCAGATGGCCTTTAAA